CCGGAGAGCTTGGCTCTGCCCCTCTGTTACTTCACCCTCTTCCCCACTGCTTCTGCTTCTTCCCCCTCTGGCTTTAACTGTTCTCAAGGAGTGGTTGTAGCCCGAGGGGCGTCTTGAAGGCCTGCCGGGCCTCCCCCAGGGCTGGCGGGTCTTGGACGAGCTCATCACAGTAATAAATCCCCTGGCTTTGGCAGAGATCTTGTTTAGTTGCTTTGTTTGTGTGTTTGTTTCTTAGGTACTAAAAGAGGAGGCTCACATGATCTTAAAAAACAAAAATTTAAGGCAGAAATGCAGAAAATGAGGGGGCGCTCATTGGGCACAGATGTTCTCTGCCCGGGGTGCTGGGGAAAGCAGGCTGGCCTCAGAGGCCCAGAGAGGCACTCAGGCCTGGGGACTGGGCAGGAACTGCCCGTTCTAAGAGATGCTCACGTGGTTGGGGGGGCGGAATTCCTTGGGGACGGACCAGGGAAAGAGACGTGAGCATCAAGCATCCCTGCACTCTTCGGGCCACTGGTCTCTACTGTGGCTGACACTCTGAGGAGGCAAAGAGAGGGACAGGCTAGAGTTGTTTTATTGCCTTTTAGGCAATCTCTTTATAATGCCTTATGGGTATGCTGATCAAGTGGCTTATCATTTTCACAGTGAAAAGTATGCTGTTAATAATTACACCCAGATACCAGGCACAAACTGGAACCATGCCAGGCAGAGCGGGGAGTATGATCATTCTAATCAGAGGAGAAACATCTTCCTCAGACTTATCCACCTTTAAAATAGCTGGTCTCGGTGCATTTTATGGACGTGGTGACTCTAATTGTTTCCTTCTTTGCTTTGGCTTTCAGGAAGCCATATTTGCAGTCTGCCTTTTGAAATCGCTCTGGAGTTACCGAATGTATTGCTGCGCACTTTCACCAGCGTTCCTTCCGTCCTCAGCCCTCATTTCTTTTTCTTCATCCTAACATCTCACTTTGAAAATCTTATTGTATATGTTCATAAGCAGTTTAGATGGATGATATTTAATGGGATTGGTGGGTAGAGGAATAGATACTTGGACGGATGAGAGAGTATTTGGATGGACAGACAGATGAGTGGGTAGGGGTGTGTGTGTGTGTGTGTGTGTGTGTGTGTGTGTGTGTGTGTTTAGATAGATGGCTGGGTGTTTCTATCAATGAATAGATGGATAGGTGCTTAGCTATGTGGATGGATGGATGAGTGAATGGAGATTTGGATGGATAAATGTTTAAAGAGTTTATTTATTTGCCCTGGCTGGTGTGGCTCAGTGGACTGAGTGCGGGCCTGCAAACCAAAGGGCTGCCGGCTCCATTCCCAGTCAGGGCACACGCCTGGGTTGTTGGCCAGGTCTCTGGTGGGGGACATGCGAGGGGCAACCACACACTGATGTTTCTCCCCCTCTCTTTCTGCCTCTCTTACCTTCTCTCTAAAACTAAATAAAGAGACTAAATAAAGAAGTTTAGTTTTAAATAAGTTTTATTTAAAACTAAATAAAGAGAGGGAGAGAAACATTGATATGAGAGAGAAACCTGACCAGGAATCAAACCCACAACCTAGGCATGTGCCTCAACCGGGAACTGAACTGGCAACCTTTCCTTTCATGGAACGACACCCAACCCACTGAGTCACACCTGTCAGGGTGGGATGAGCGTTTTGATGTCTAGAGGAAGAGAAGGATGGGTGTCTGGCTGAATGTTTAGGTGGAAGATGCATGTGTAGATGTATGGGTGGATGTCTGGGGCGATAAAGGAATGGATGAATAATAGATGATTGGAGGAGTGGAAGGATGGTCGGCTGACTGGATTTTTAGATGGACAGACTTTGCATGAATGGGCAAATGGAAGGATGGCTGGGTGGGCATTTGAACAGGTAGATAGTACAATGACCAGATGGGCGGGTGGACAGGTGTTTGGATGAATGGGTGGGGGGAGGCCTGGCTGGCTACTCGGGGAGATGGACAGGTGCACAGGTGTGCACAGAGCAAGTAGAAGGATGAAGGGGTGAGTGGGCATTCCTGTGATTGGATGCTTTCTTGGTACACAGTGTAAGTGTGCCAAGAGTGAAATCACGTGTATAAAGTACCTCACGGCCTCAGCCGTGTGGCCCAATTAGATGAGAGTTGTCCGTGCACAAGCAGGTTGTGGATTCGATACCTGGTCAGGGTGCATGTGAGAAGTGACCAGTCAATGTTTCTCTCACACTGATGTTCCTCCCTGTCTCTAAAATCGATGAACATCCTCAGGTGAGTATTAAAAAAATTAAAGTACTGTGCCAATGCCTGGCATGTCACAGGCAGTCTGACTTATTAGAAAGGACATGGGTTTTGTAGACCCAAAGACCTTTGTTCCGATCCTTGCCCTACCACTTACTGCATGACCTTAGGCAATTACCTAACCTCTCTGCACTTTGGCCTACTCAGCCATAAAACAGAGTTAAGATACCTACTCCGGGGGCTGCTAAGTGGGCTAGTGTATGTTTCTGCAGATACCTGCATACTCCCTTCTGAGGTATGGGAGGTAGAGGGGGAAGAGAATTCTTTTAACTAAGCATAAAATAAAAGTCCCTTCCCTCCATCTGACTTATCCAAACTATGCCCTGGGCCCACCCTGGGACCACCAGCAGTTGCAAATGCCATGCACTGTTTGGTCGAGATTGATCAGACTACACTCTAGGAGTTGGGACAAGACCACCTTCTCCAGAGAGTCACCTTCTTGGATGAAGGGAAGGGGGGCCCAGTTTGGGGGCTGCTGGTTCAGATCGAATGAAATGACACCGCACTGACAGGTAGTGGAAACAGGAGGCCGGTGGGCGGCCTGGAAACCATGGTAACAGTGTTGAAAACCATGCTTTGGGACTTGACTTGATGTCAGTGGGGGGTGGAAAATGATATTCACTGGATGGGGCACCCCAGAAAAGTGCAGGTTGATAAGTGAAAGTCGGGCCATGCTGCCTTTGTGTGTCTGTGGAAGATCCACGGGGAAAAGTGGTTGGTTGGTGTACTGGGGGCTCTGGTGAAAGGTCAGGGCTGCAGAGACTGGGAGATAATCAATATCCTAGTCTTTATAAACCCATGCGCCTTTTCAAGTATAAAATCTTGTATCCTCCTCCTTCAGTGTTATTTAAAATTTCTAAGTGCATTAAATATATGATTAAAACCAATTCAAGTGACTTGCAGAATTAGGTCAGCTTCCCAGCTGAAGCTAATGGCCACCACAGGCAGGTTAGGAGGAAGTCTCTGTCTTGGACAACGTTGGAAATTCAGACTGGTTTGTTCTTCCCTCTGGTGGCCCGGCAGGCAGGCACCTGGAGCAGGCTGTACAACTCCCGAGGTGTTCAGGAGCTGCTATGCTGCAGTTTTCACTGAACTATCCCGTCTGCTGTCAGTGTTCCTGGCTTGGTCACCTCCAGGATCAGGGAGCTCACTCCCTCATGAGACGGCCTCTGCCGTCCAGCCTCCTCCCCACCCCCACCCCGCTCTGTGGAGCTCTGCCGTCCAGACGAATGCGGAGCAGGGAGCTGAGTGACTCCAGGCTCCAGCTCCTTCGGTGCTCGCGGGAGCAGTCACGCTTGCCTTTGGTCCCTGCTCTTCCTCAGGCGTCCCCACTCCAGCTTTCGCAGTTGGGACCCATCTCAAAAGCACTCTTCAACTGAGTAGCACACAGCTACTGACACATTCAGTACTTTTCAGTACGGCGCTGTAACACATTCTGAGGCACTTCCGTTTCTCTTAGCGCAGGCACTTCCTGTTCTCTTAGCACAAGCACTTCCGGCTCCACTGGGTAGCATTTCCGGTTCCGCTGTGGAGCATTTTCACCTCCCTTTCGGTGCTTCTCATTGTTGCCTGTGGAGACATGGGTGGGTGAAGGTTGAGACCCACGAGCCCACGAAGCGTTCCCCGGGCAGGGCAGAAGTGCGGGGGCCCCGAGCAGTGCTGACGGTTCTCCGTTCTCTTCCGTTCTCTCTGCCTCGGAGGGACCTCCTCAGCGCTCCCAGACATGGCGGCCGGCCTTAGGTCCCCTCGGGCTGCAGGGCCGGGCTGCGGGGCCAGGCTGTACTGGCTCTAACCCCACTTGTTCTACATCCTAATTGTGGGACGTGTGGCAAGATCTCGCCCCGCACCCCGTTGCCTCCGTTTCTTAAGTGCCCTCGTGAGATTGGAATAATGATAACGGTGCCTAGGTGTCTGAGTTACCGTGGGATTTCTCTAAAAGATGATGACATTGGTGTTGTCCACGGGATGTGGGTCCAGAAGCAGCTCCACTTGTGAAATGTTAACTAGGCGTGTTCCTGTTCTCCTCCAGGTCCCTTAAGTCTCTCTGGAACACGAGAACAGATAGCCCTTTGACCCCTGATGGGAAATGTTGAAAAAGACTAAAAACAGCAGAAAGGATGACCTTTACAAAGGCTGTTAGCCGTTGTTTATGAGACAGAAGCCTTTGTTATAACAAAGACACTGGAAAAGCAGAAATTCAGACGTCAGTTGTTGATGTGGAAAGAAACTATTTGAGGGGAGTGCGTGGACTTAAATTCCAGAGTTAGTTACACTTGGTGGCGGTATGTGAAGTTCACTCTTTTGGATCCCCTCCCACTTTCACAAGTAACGAGCTCTCCACGTCTGGGAGGCCCTCCCATAGGCGGAGGACATCCAGTCTGAGGGCCTTTCACCCAGGGTCCCCACACACTGTGGTTGTTGAGAGGCCTTCCGGGGAGGCAGAGCTGGGCCTGACTCTTATCCTCGTCACTGTGGTGGGCCCTGGAAAGCACCCACACGTGTCTGGCACACAGCCCAGCTCTGCAAGGTGGTGGCCGGTCTTGGTACAGAGCCAGGATCTGCATCTTTGTCATCTTTGCATCCCCAGCGCCCAGCAAGGGTTCTTGAGAATACCTGTTGACTCATCCTGTAGCCAAGCATGTCCAGGTGGCCTCAGCAGCGCAGGGAGAGGGGATCCCAGGCTCTTCCTCTGACACCTCTTGTGCCCCTGGTCTTGCAGACATCGACGAGTGTGAGAACGACTACTACAACGGGGGCTGTGTCCACGAGTGCATCAATATCCCGGGGAACTACAGGTGCACCTGCTTCGACGGCTTCATGCTGGCCCACGATGGACACAACTGCCTGGGTGAGTGCTGCAGCTGTGCCCTGCCCTCAAGGTGCGCCCGGCCGCTTCTCTGCTCCAGCGTGGCGTGCTGGGGCTGTGGGAAGGCTTGCTCCCCATTGGTTGGTTCTTTGTCTTAGTTTGCTGGGGCTGCCAAGTTAAAACGGCAGACTGGGTGGGGATGGGGGCTTTGACAACGGGAATTTATTTTCTCATAGTTTTGGAGACTAGAGGTCTAAGGTCAAGGGGTTCTCTGCTTTGCGCTTTTCCTGAGGCCTCTCAACTTGACTCGCAGATGACCACCTTCTTACTAGGTGTTCACGTGGTCATTTCCCTGTGTGTCCGTGTGTTTGGTGTCTTTCTGTGTGTTGTCATTGCCTCTGACGAGGACACCAGTCATATCTGGAGCAGGGCCCATCCCAGCTGACTTTTAACATAGTTACCTCTGAAAAGGCCCTGTCTCAAAGACAGTCACATGCTCAGGTACTGTGGACTGGGGCTTCAACAAGAACTTGGGGGAACACATCGCAGCCCACAATAAGGATTCTTCTATATCTCCAGAGTCTCGGAGTTCAGGTATAAAATTTATAAGGGTAATGCAAGCTTGCTGGGTAAAGTTTGGAAAATGTAGAGCAGGGACAAAACGTTGGGTAGCACTTTAGTTACACTGCTGTGCTCCCTGTCACTCTTCTCTCTGCACCAGGTGTGACTTCACTGTAGCGGTGATCAGGTGGTCAGCATGGTTTTTTTTTTTGTCCCTTGGTTTGTCCTTCCACATCATGTAAACCTCAGGTATGTGTACCTGGCCCGTGTTGTTGCTGTTCTTCTAGTCACCTCATGGTCTGACACACAACTGCATTTAAATAACCTGAGGCTGCTGTACCACAGTAAGAAACCAAAGCTCAAGCAGCCAGAATTGACTCTCTCCCAGTCTGAAAGCTGGAAGTCTGAAGTCAGGCTGTCAGCAGGGTTGGCCCGTGGAGGACCGTGCAGGAGAGTCAGTTGGAGGCCCCTCCCAGCTCCTCGTGGCCTTGGCGTGCTGCACTTGTCAGTCCTGTCGTCCTGGTCTCCGCGTCGTCTTTGCTCTGTGCCCTTCTCTCCCCGTGTCCAGATTTCCCCTCTTTACAAGGACACAGTCCCATTGGATTAAACCTCAGCCTGATGACTTTGTGTGGATCGTCTGCAAATACCCCATCTCCAGAGAGGCTGCGTTCTCAGACACTGGCGGTGTTAGGCCGTCAGCCTCTCTGGGGGCACAGTTCAACCCGCCGCAGAGGCGGTGTGCAGCCTGTAGCAGGAGGAAAGTCTTGGGGCAGAAAGCTCACGGTCTCAAAGTGGAAGTGCCTGCCCCTGAAGCACTTGTCTCCCTCTGGCTGTGGGGGCCTGGGGGTGAGACGTGGACTTGGTGGGAGTGTGGCTGCGGACACATCAGTGACGTCTCGGGGCCTCAGTCACCCCCTTGCTGGTAAATACAGGGTGAGGCGCAGCCTCGTGAGCAGTAACTGAGATCACGTCCAGGCGCTGGGGAGCACGGTGGGCACAGGGCTGTCAACACTAGTGGCTGTTGCTGTCGTCATGACCTCCGAGCCTCAGGCTTCCCCGCCGTAGAGCCAAGTGTGAGGGGTCGGTGAGGTGACTGGCACTTAGTAGGTGCAAATAGTTAATGAACAGGCATTAGTGCTACTCTGGGTGACTCGGCCACCCTTTGGCGGTTGGACAGTTAGATTGTTTGCTTATTTTGTTTGTTTTTACCATCAGAATCTAGAAGTGATTCTGGGCCTAAACCTTACTTTCTGCGTTTTTCCTGTTGTTGCCTTAGCAATCCTTCCCAGAAGCAGAACCGCTGGGTCCACGGATCGTTTGGATTCTCTGTGGCTTTCGCTGCAGGGCTGGCTGCGAGTGTGCGGCACCCCTGCCTCTGTGCCAGCTGACGCGCTGGTGGGGGGCGTGGGGAGTGTGACGGCCGCGTGCCCTGGACTCTTCCGCCTCCTGGTGTGTTAGCCTCAGATCCCCTGCCTGTTTTCGTTTAATCCTGCTGGGTCTCAGATGGGCTTGTTATGGGAAGCGGGTCTGGGAACATGTAGTCGTACCCACAGTAAGCGCCAAAACGGGGGTCTGGGCAGCAGGCTGTTGAACCCAGAGGGGCCTGTGCAGAGCTGCCCCCGTGAGGGGCAACAGTAGGGGTGGGCGTAGGGCTGAGTCCTTCAAGGGGATCTCTAAAGAGAAGGTTGCTGTGAGCAAGATCTTCAGAGGCTGGGGAGCAGCCCCCTGGGTGAGGGCACAGCCTGTGTGGAGAGCCGGGGGAGTGGGGGGAGGGGGCTCCTGGAGGCAGGAACGGCGGGAAGAGGGGCTTTGGGAGGAGGCAGAATCTTCAACCGGACTGTGAAGGGTGTCGTGAAGGACTGTGAAGCCGTACAACAGGTGTCGTGTTGACTGGCATCCACACGTACCTACTGAGTCCCCCTGGAAGGACAAGCCTTGACTTTACTAGTGCGCCCCCCTCCGACACACGAGAAAGGGTGTGTGTCGGCAGTCGACTGTCTGAGGGCAGAGCCGAGTGACCCTGCGGGGCCTCCACTGCTCAGGAGGACGGATCTTGGGAACTGCCAGTCCTTGGCTCCAGTCCGCCCCACCAGTCATCAGCTGGGTGACCCTTGGCCAGTCGCTTTCCCTCTGGGCCTCAGTTTCCTCACTTGTGAGTGGCATTCCTAGGACCGGTCTGTAAGTGTTCTTGTGAGGACCGAAGGCGATCATGGATGGGAGCCATCCAGCAGAGTGCAGCGAGCACTCGGATTGATGAAACGGGCTTCGGGGCACCAACGCTCAGAGGTGAACTGAGGGGGGCTGTCTGATGATGCCTCTGAGACGCGGGGCGGGGCTGCGCCTGCCGCCTGCGCCCTGGGCCACACCTGAGCACGGCCGCCACTCCAGCTGCAGCTCTCTCACCTGGGCCAAGGCTCATGTTGGTGAGCCCTTTGCTCTTGGCTCTGGAGGGTATGCCCCATGCCTCCAGACTGCAGGGGATTCTGTGTGGGTCTTTGTTTCAACAACAGTATTTTCACAGTGGACTGCTTTCAGAACGGTTAATTTGAAGAACTGGGTAAAACTCCCCATAGCCCTCCTGCCCCCCCCCCCCAGCACAGATCGCAGCCGCACTCGGCTCTGACTCTCTATTTTCAGCGGAGGGCAGACCCTTCCCAGCAGACTATTTAGGCTTTTCCCTGTTTGAGACAAAACGCCGCTTTAGAGAATGAAAACCCACCTGCACTGCAGTGGCTACGTGGCCTCTCGGAGTCCCTGCTCCCTCGCCCATCACACGCTGCAGGAGCAGAAGAGCTGGGGCAGTGCCAGGGCCGCGGAAGCCCAGTCAAGAGCGGCCGAAACCTGTAACGCTGTAGGAGGAAGCTGGGCCTGCAGTGCGAGGGTGTAGCCTCCCAGTCCGCCACCACCGCAGGACTCCACACTTTGGGACCAGTCACTCAAACCCTCCAGGCTCCCGTTGCCCTGGCTCTGAAATGGGAGGATGAGGCTTGTCTCCAAGGGCCACCGTGAGAGGTGAACAGGGCAGCGGACGTGGGGAGCTATGCATGCAGATGGCAGGGCCTGCACAGGTGCTGGAGACTCGTCTTCCCGCTGCAGCAGTTTCAAGCCGCAGCCCAGTCCTCGTCCAGCTTGCCCGTTAGGTTTATCCCCACAGTGTTTACCATCATCATCATCATCGCCATGGAATGATTTGTCGACATCTGACAAATCAAGGATGTCACATAAAAATTGGTATTTCCAGCACTGTTCCTGCTCGGCCGTAGTCACCCAGCTCCTGACACTTATGGGGCTTTGGCAGGAGTGCACATGGAGGTTGTACCCCACAGGGCTAAGCCTGTAAACGTGACTGTGAGGCTTTGGAAGTTGAGTGTGTGCCATCACTTCCACCAGGACAAGTAGTTCTCCCTCGGGACCTGGGAGGCTGGGCTGGAAGGCAGAGCCTGGGGCTGCACGGAGTTGGTGCCAGAAAGTGGAAGTGTGCCTGAGCCTGCGCCCGCCCCCTGCTCTCACTCCTGGCTCCTTCCTGCCATCTGAATGCTCAGGTTCTGGCTCTTTGTCCCCAGATCACCTTCCCTTTGCTGCTGTTTGGCCCTAAGTGCCATCTGTCCCTCAGAGAACAGACAGACCTGGGACTCTTTGGACAGGGGATTTTAGAGTCTCGGGTACTCAGAATGTGGTCTGGACAGGTGGCTTTAGGCCCTAGGTGCACATGGCGGGCCCTCTGTGGACTTCAGATTCCACGGGGGCGGGAGGGGGCTGCAGCCACAGGAAGAGCAGAGGAGGGACCCCCAAAGCATGGGGCCCAGGGCAGGGGCACCTCCCTGTCTCAGTGTTGTGCTGGCAACTACTGTCAGGAGCTATGCCCCCTTGGGGGGCAGGTTGACTCTCCTGTTTGCTACGCTACCATCCCCACTGGTCCCTTTTGCTCACACCAGTCAGTTTTGCCTGTTTAACTGCCTGCTTGGTTGCAGTAGGAATTGTTGTCCTGCTGCCTGGGGAAGCTGCCAGCAGAAAGCCTGCCCCCGAGGGGTGCTGGGAGCTGCAAGAGGCCGGATGAGCAGTCGGGAGGCTCTCGCTGCCTTCTGCAGTCCTGACCTTCTCTGGGCAGTCGCTGGAGCCCCGCCCCACAAGCCAGCCCCCGTCAGGGACAGTCAAGCCGCTCTGTAGCTCCTGCTACTCTGTCTGCAGGGGTCCAGGTCAGGAGCCTCATCTGGCCCAGCGGTCCCCTCCCCACCACCGCCAGGTCCCCAGGGGCGATGGCTGGACAGATCCCCATCGGCGGGGTTTGAAAAGTGTTCTGAGTCAATTAGGAGCAATGAAGCTGAGGGCTTAAGGGTTATTTTCTTGCCGGAGTTTTCACAGTTGAACTTTTTCTTTTCTTTTGAGCAAAAGTGGTTCTTTTATTGCAGAGATGGCTTGCCTGGGACTGTGTCCTGGAGGGTGGCCAAATCCGTCCTCCGGGGAACAAAACCTTCTCTCTA